GCAACCAATTTCATTTTCTGACGATTCACGCACGTTTTCTATTTCAACTGAAGATGACCATATCTTCTTCTAACATGCATTTAACGTTGATGCTTCCAGTTCTTTTAGCGACAAAGATACGATGTCGTTTGAGTTCTTGATTGAAAATGTCTTTCAAGCTTCCATTACATTATACCATTTTGAACGATTTTATACTGGAATTAGCTGAATAGCTCGAGCTTGGCTGTATTTTTCACTATTGGGAATGCTTTAATTAATGCATTCTTAAAATTTTCAAGGTTGTAGCTTTTGCTACAAGGCTTACCCAAGACGAATTTGCCAACGCATTTATACCATTTAACAGCCTGGTCTTCAAGGACGGACGGGGTGATGGTTAATTTTTGCTCTTTTTGTACATGATGCGGCAGAAAATGTGAATTTAACTGCTCAAAAAAATTTAAGACAGATATCTTTCCATCAAAAATTGCTACTGGATTCATAGCAGCTCTAAAGGCTCGTTTCCACTGCTGCGTACGAACGCGTTGCGTCAATTGAAGACACGCCTACGGCATCCGTACAAGCGTTTCCACTGCTGCGTATCCGTAAAATATTTTCATTTTCCGCCACTAGGTGTCACTGTAATTTTTAGCCCCAAACAATCAGTTCGCGAGTTACGACGCTGATTTTGATTTGATATGGATCCTGACGTAAACAGCAGAAAAGTTTTGTCTTACTAAATTAGATGTTATTGGAAATTTTTATTTCTGCTTATGAACTGCGAAAGTAAAGTAGGGTAGCAATTTTTAGATAAGTAAGATTATAATGCATATTATGAGCATCACTAATTCCATAGAAGCTTAAGTAAATTTAAAAAAAAAAAAAAAAAAAAAAAAAAATGTTTTCTAGAAGCCTTAAATATTAATGAAATAATATATATATTATTAAAACTAAAATGTACTGTTAGTGAAAAAGTAAACAAATAAATAAATAAAATAAAAAAAAGTTAAAGGATTAAAAAATAGTTGGTACTTTAAAAAGTACAGAGCAACTGTAAAGAAAGGTTCACAATATTTACGCAAAATTTGCTATGCTTTGTATACCGCTGACTTCATGGGTCATAGCTGGATAAGTTATTAGAAATCTCGTTTGTTTTAAAATGCACTATGGGCAGTTATATTTTATGGCATAATCCATAAATATTATTTTTAATTTAAACATTTTTAATTCATATCTCTTTTTACAGAAGTTATAAAAATAAGATTTTTCTCTTTATATATACACACATTAAGGTAAAGGAAATGGAAATATTTAATTAATTAATTCCTGCGCTTCTGCTGGAAAGGACTGAATTTAAAAGCAATTATTATAGTAATTTTTTGTTAAAAAATGTTTAGGGCATTAATACTGTCTCATGTTAATTGGAATGAAAGTTTAGAGTCGTAAACATCCCAAAGTCGGAGCACATGTATATACATTCACATAAAAGTGAAATATCTGCAGGGTTTCAAAATAAATTAAATTTAAATAATTTTCTTGCGCTATTGCTGCAAGGAATGAAATTTGAATTTAACAAACATTTTCTATTCGTAAAAAGCAATTTAAATGTTAATTAAATTTAAATGAAATTTAATGCAAACAAATAAAGGATTAATTATTGCTGCGAACTAATATACAATATCATTTAAATTCTGAGAGCATATGTAAATCAAGTGCAAGTATCAAAATCCATGAATAAATATATAATTCCAAAAATTTATTTATCCTATTATTCCTTATGCATTTTTATAATTTTTTTAGGATTAATAAGCTATCCTATTATTCACTTACGCATTTTTATAATTTTTTTAGGATTAATAAGCTATCCTATTATTCACTTATGCATTTTTATAATTTTTTTAGGATTAATATCTATCCCATTATTCACTTATGCATTTTTATAAATTTTTTAAGGATTAATAAATTTTTGGAATTATATATTTATTCATGGATTTTGATACTTGCACAGCAATAATTAATCATTTCTTTTCATTTATTTTTTGCATTAAATTTCATTTAAATTTAATTAACTTTAAATTTGCTTTTTACGAATAGAGAATGTTTGTTAAATTCAAATATGTATGTATACAGGGTATGCTTTAAATTAGTATTATATAATTTTCAAACTTTTTTGCGGGGGAAAAATTTAAATAAATAAGAGCATTAAATAAAACAATATATTTAATGCATATAATAATAGAAATAAATTATAAAACACGAATATAGATCAAATTGGAATAAAAAGGTAAGAAAGTTGCAGACATGGGTGCAAAAGCGTATGGGATTCGAACTCACGACCCAAAAAGTGGAACATCGTTACCATCAGCTTTTACCACTAAGCTAGGATTACACGTAAATCGCATGCATATTTTAGGTTATATACATCATCAAGTAAATCAATTCTTAAAACTAAGTTTTTTGGTCCTATTTCACTTTGCTATTGTCTGAAAAAATTCACCAGAGTTTTTTTCTTCAGCTTCTAGTACATTTTTTGGAAAAATCATTATCTTTTCAAGTTGGCGTTCCGATTGAAGTTAAACGGGCTGCTAAAAATATATTTCAATGTGCTTACAAATATATGTTATCCAAAAAGATATATTTATAAAGGGAAATACAAATTTAACATACTCTTCAATGAACTGGAGTATTTAAAAGGCTATCAAATTTAATTTATAATTAACGTTTTTAGTTTTTACCTGTTTCAAAAGAAAAAAATAAGCAAATCTTTTAATCATATCTAATTTGCTATAGCAGTTTGATATAGTCAGACATTCATTTTCATTAAAGCTAAATGAGTATGCAGAACTAAAAAATGATTATCAGAACAAAATTTGCTATTTCATGGACTTGGAATGATAATTTTTGCCGCTGATTTTCTTGAATGAACAAGTACTGTAGTTGCAGTTATCTTGTTTTTCTTATCATTTTAAACTAAATTCAGCTGATTGCTGTCATTTTCAGCACGCAGATTTCTCGCTATAATGTTAATTCAGAAATAAGTATTTTTTAGCAAAACATTCTTTCCCTATTAGCGAGCGTTCATCGCTACTTCTGCCGCCATTAATTTTTAGTCACTGCACCTGATTGCTCCTTTTTCACCACGTGACCCCAACGCAACCGCAGACATACGGATAGAAGTTGAACATTGTTGAACTCCATCCGTATGTCATCCGTCACCGCACACCGACCGGATTGCAGATGTCAATCAAAGTGAATTCGCTCGCTGATTGGAGAAACGCATACGCACCGCAACGCATACGCAGTAGTGGAAACGGGCCTTTCGGGTGTCAAAGATGAACATGAATCCCTCCCTTGGATTCGCCGTAAACGACGGGGCTTGCGACGTTGATAGGAAAATGCTAAATGGTTAAGTTTCCTGTGATATAGTAGTTCTTACTGTTCGGGCACCAGTGTAAAGTCTATATCTCTTTGGGAACATAAACTATTGACTTTAAAATAATTATTGAAGAATTCTCTTCTAGCCTTGTGAAACAAAACAGAAATCAGAAGAATGTTGTATAAGAGCCTTTTATTCGAACACAACAATTGACCCAACTTAGATTTACATAAACCAACATAAATCTTCTGTCTTAGCAGAAATAAGTAACAAATAACAATTTCAAGGTATAGTAGATTAGCCTAACGGCTCACAAAATAATTTAACGCGCAGGCAAGTCTCTGGTTTGTAGTAAACCGAGACAAAGCCGAATGGCTAGAAACACTCAAAGCAGATAACACAAGTCGCTAATAATCACAGCACAACGTGGCCTGGAATAGGAAGACACGCTCTCAAACTTTCCGAAACTCTTGCTTAAATAGTACTTCTTTCTACCTTAATTTGAATAAAGTTTGGCTATTCGAATTAAAATTTTTTCATGCCAGAATTAATCTCATTTAAATTCTGGTATGAAAAGAGAGTAATAGGAATGTAGACAAACTTAAAATGAACTATACTCTGATAGAGATCTATAAATAAATAGATAAATCTTTCCTAAAAAAATCAGACTAACTTGCTCATTACAAATCCTAATTTAATAATTTATTATTTTGAATAAAAAAAAATTTCGAAGTTCATTTTTATACTTTGTTTTATTTAATTTCAGAGGTCAAAGAAAGATGTAAAAACAAAAACACAGACATTTTATTCTTGCTTCTAATTTTATATTATTAAAATCTTGATTTGATTCAAAGAACGTAATATTTTACGTATTTTAAATACTATAGGAAGATATTGGACTTTGAAAGTGGACACTGTGGATACGTGCCCTGTTTGCCCTGCAGAAATCAAACCGTGAGCAATCATTCTTCTTGCACTCTGAAATCTCCTGAACTGATTATGTAATGAGCAGAAGGAAAATTTAGTTGTATTTTACTTGCATATACTGGCAAAAAACTTTTACAAATATTTTCATTATTATGGCTAATAATTATGCAATGCATATATCCACGGTAAAGATAATATCGATGATTATCAGAGGACGCGAAAAGTATTTTGTATCAAATATATCAGTTCCTAAAATATTTATTTTTTTATTAAGATTGATTTTAATTAAGATTTGTGGTTTTTCTCTATCATTTATAAACTTATAAATTTTGAAAGGAACATAGAAAACGTATCAATTTCAAAAGCAGAAATTGATTAAATATGTATTAGCATGAAAATTATATCATTATTGTGACAATGATCGAAATCTCTTCTCTGTATAAATATAAGTTTCTAAGGAAGGGAAAAAAGGACTAAGAATTATTTTAAACTAATTTTTCGATTTTCTTTACCCGCACATGGCTAGAAAATACAAAAATAAAATAATATAAATAAGAAAAATAAAATTTAAACATAAAAATAAAAATTTTTAAGTGTATCAGCGTGTAACACTTTAGTTCTTCCCTTTGGCAACGTCATTTGGAATTTAAAAATTATGTAAATAAAAAACGCTGAAGTTTTATTATTCTTTTGAGTGAAACTGAAGAATAGTTTCAGAAAAGCGCGTTTTAGTGAAAATTTTATAAAAATTTACAAGTGTGATTGTCGCAATCGTTACTAGTTTTACTAAATTTGAATACGATTAAATTTTCATTTTTCAGATTCAGAAGAAAATGATTGCATCAGAAGAATGTCTGGAAAATGTTACTCATGAGCGACCATATTTTAGTAGTAAAATCTTTGATGATAGTAAGTTAAGTATCTGATATTAATATCTGGTTCTTTTTCACTGTTTATTTATTTTTAGGCAGCAAAATGTACTTAATTTACTAATTAGTTTCCATGTAACTGTAACATCTAATTCATTGTGCTAAATTTTCGTAATTTATTGCAATAAATTCAAAGCTAATAAAATTGTTGTGGAGTTCGTTTATATCCCAGTTTCTAAACGAGCTAGCGAATAAACATGTCTAGTACCTTTTTCTTTACAATTTTCACAATTCAGCAGTTTATATATGTATGCTATTCCTTGAATAATATATTCATATTTGTGAATATTTAATTCTTCTTTAAGTAGCAATAGTATTAAGACTCTGGCGATATATGAAATTTTGCAAATTATAGACTGGGTGATTAAGTTTACCAGTTTTGAGTTTAGGTCTGATCCTAGTATACAGAACACATGAGATTTGGCGACTGGTGATACATCTGAGGGTTCAAATGCGTCATTTTGGTGTCGGCGACGGTGCTACTTTGGTAGACGGTTGCACGGATTTTGACGATTTTTCTTTTGGCGAGTAATGCAACTTATGGTAAACCCATTGCTGGATAAGTTATTTATGGTAACCGATACTTTGCTGTCATTTATTTAAAAAATAACGCGTTTTATCATGCATAAATTCCGTGTTTTAAATATTATTTATGGCTTCTAATATTAAAAATCAATTTAATTTTGAATTTTTATTTGAAATAAAAATTTTGTTTGTTTATAATATTTTATATAATTTTATGTTGGGGATGATGCAATCAATGACGTCACCTTACTTAAAAAGTAATTGGTTTTGTTCATATATATGGATTTAATCTAATGTTTTAAACATTATTTATGGCTGTTAAATATTAAAATACAATTTAATTTTGCATTTGTTTTAAAAATGATTTTATTACGAATGATTATTTAAATAATTTTAATTCTATGCGTGATGTAATCAGCTCCCTGATTGGTTACTGAATATTTGTGCATTACCGCGCCATTTTAAAAGTTTATTATTCATCTCTTCGAATTCCTCAGATTTCAAATGGAATGGATATCTCCGTTTCGAAGATGAATGTTGTTATTGGTAATTACCAAGAATTATTGGTATTGGAATAAAAAAAAATAAAAAAATTGCCCTTTGAGACCTTATTTTGACCAACCTGTCTTTCCTAATCAAAGATTTATTTATAAATTGTTAATAGCGTCAGAGGAAATTTATTTTAAATTTTTGGAGGAAACCTCGCTAATTGCTTCTTCAAAGAAGTGCGAGAAATATGGATGACAGATGAAGATGGTTAAAAGAGCCGATTAAATTATGATTCCGATTTTTTTTGTGGTACTTATCAATAAACAACAAGTTAAATGACTAAAAAAATGTAAGTACATATTTTTCTTTTATTTTATAATTGTATACTTCAATTTTTGTTAAAAAAATTAATACACTATTTTCAGAAATTGCTGAAATAATTATTGTCACATATGTTTTAATGTTAATTATATTCTATATAGCGTATTTTAAAGTATTTGAATTTAATAATATTCTAATTCTTTTAAATGTTGGTATGATGGTTTTTAATTCGATATTCAATTTCAGTAATATTTTAATCTAATTAAACGTTGGCACAAGGTTTTTATAGCGGTGTTTTTATTCTCTTTTTTTGCTATATGAAAGTAATAATAACCTTACTTTAGTATTTTATACTCATAGTAAATGTATTTATTTACACTTGCCTGCCATCTTAAAAAACGATATTTTCAACAGAAAATTAATGCATTACTTTTAACGATATTTATTTTTTTTTTTAAAGTTTCGAATGCTTTACTATGCGTAAAAACAGCGTTTTTCAAGATGGCTGACGATTGTAAAAATCGCGCCAACAATTGCGCCAACGTAAATCGTCAAAAATCCGTGCAACCGTTTACCAAAGTAGCACCTCGGCGACAACTTTTAAAATCGCGCCACGGCCAAGTTTTACCTGAATTTTAATTTTTTAAGATTTAAAAAATTGTTATTACCAGCATATAATTTTATGAAGACGTTATCATCTAACTTCCTTGTTAATGTGACCATTGTAATCCTTTGGCTGCATTTGAAATCTGCAGGTCATAAATTAAGGTTTGTCAGTTTCGGTGACTGAACACAGTGGCCTTTGACGGTCATCAACAAGCTCAGCTCTCATTCCAGTAGCACACCACAGTGGACTCAAGTGAACACAGCTTTCATTACAAATTGTTGTTGTTACCAGTCTCACTTCTCTGACAATGGGCAGCACGACATTCATCGTGACAAGGAGTCAAATATGCCTATCGTTGACATGAGTCTTGAGCACCATATAGGTGACAGACTTAGTTTCGTCTTCACTTTTGAGGGACAGCATCCCCGGGGGGACGGGTCAGTGTGTCTTCCCCTCTTACCTTAACCATCAGCCTGTCGAGAAGACTTTCGGCTTGCTGTATATTTATAGTGTTCCCATGCCGCACAGACACTATACATATACAAATAGCAATTCCTTCTCCGGGATTCGAGCCCGAGCCGTTCGTTACGGTAGTCAGAGTTACTAAGCATTATCCCAGTTCGGTGGCGCATTCTAAATTTAAGACTGTTAGATATTGCCCTTATTTGGGAAGAAATAATTTCTTTATTTCGCAACCACCAGAAGGGTTAACAAGAAAGTACCCAATTCTTATCTAATCAGGTATAGTATATAAAAGTGACATGCAGACAGAAGAATATGGAATTTCTAACTCTGATAATTTTTAAATAGTGTAGTAGTTACGCTATAAATATGCTAATAAAAGCATTCTACTACTCACAAAATTTATATGTTTTATACACAATTATATTATAATGTACAGGAAGAATTATATTCATTCACTCTGTCAAAACAAGACCTAATGATAGTTAAGATTGATTCAAAAAACTAAAACTCTTTTGGGTTCCAAAACTTGTCCCAAAACTCTTTTTCAGATAATACGTAAGTGAATACGGTACTTTTCCGCTTTGCCGGCACAGGCGATAAAAGTCTCCAATAATGGTACAACTGATGCCAAACGGAATATCCTCGCTGGTAACCGTTTGCGCCTCATTTTCAAAAGAAGTTACAGCCATTTCTTATCAGGTAGATTGTTTCTTTCAATACTGGCATACAATTAGATAGAATTTTTACCAGATAGTTCAGTTTTATGTTCTAAGGCCCTGACCCTTCGCGGTAATTAAGTCAATTAGGATGCAATCACACTGAAGGCGAAAATATAGAAAAGGCAAAGTCAAGGGTTAAATTCGTCAGTTCTAATGAGAATGCACTAGCGAAATAAAGCACTGCGGTTTTACATAATTTCTGAGTAAGCTATACGTACGAATTGAAATAATTCTTTCATTTAAATTTGTATTCCAAATTAAGATTTAGCTTGAAATTAATGTAGACAATTACTAAGATAATTAGATTTTATAGAGTACTTTACGTGAGATGAGATCATTTGGGGTCAAGTGATATGAACCGGCGAATCAGGATGTTGAATCATAAAAGCATAGTAAATTCTTAAGTTAATGTCCTTTGACAAATTTATTGTCTTTATTTATTGTCTTTTTACAAAATTTTAAAATATATTAAAATGTTTATGCCTTCAAAATAAAAAATTCTTAAGAACTAACATTTGTTAATCTAGTGTGTTTTGCCATAATTAAATACACCACCACACCACCAACATTTGTTAACATTTTTATGTGTATACTGTATGTTGCCGACAATAAAGTCTGCTTGGCGAGTTTTGCGCCCGCGAAACGGAAAAAGTACCGTCAATACTTTAATACTCGAATGTTTACAAAATCTGGGGTAAGTTTCATGAAGACTAATCCCTTTTTTTAAATTTTCAGGCCAGCTGTATTCAAAAAGTTTCTCTTTTATACCTGTTGGTTCAATGACTGCCAAACGGGCACTGCAAATTGTGGGGATGAAAATCAATCTCGAATCTCAAGGCACGAAAGATGACTTGGAAATGTATAAGTGTAAAAGAATAGCAACTAATAATTTTATACCGCCAACAGATAAGCATAAAGTAAGCAAAAAAGTTCGGAAAAAATGTATCATCTGAGCTTTTATCCTGCATTTCCAAACATAATGTTTACTTCCAAAATTCATAAGCTTTCAGTGATGTGAATGAAACTGCTCAAATTTCTTTTTCAGGATGTACTTGGTATATTTGTCCTAATTAGAAGGATATTTAAAGTTTTGTTCGTCATGTATACTGGTAGCATTTGCAGTATTCATTATAAATATAAATAGGTATTCATTATAAATATAATTACGTATTATCCCGTCGAATGGTCAAATAGCGCGATTTAACGTGTATTATAGATGTCTGCGTCCTTTAGAATTCTAAAATAACGGTTGGCCACTGGCGAAAATTTCCACCAATAGTCGACGGGATAATACGTAAATACCAATAAATAAATTTTTTCTACAGAGTTTAACTGTAAAATAAATAATAATTCACAGTAAATAGCCAGTCATAGTCAAGTTCTCGAACAAGACGGATTTCCTATACTTGAATGCCTCTTTTTCGTGATTACGTACCTATTACCAAACAGTTTTCCTAAAAAGGATACACATTTTTTCATGGAATAAGAGTTTAATTAAAAATACTCTTGCCCAAATTTTGTGCTACTGAAGTATCGTACTTCTATGCTGTTAAAATACTATTTACCAATCATGTTAAAAATTAGTTTTACTATTGGAATATCACATTTCTATGCTGCTAAAGTTTTATTTTCTAGTCAATTCAAAAATTACTTTTTCACGTAGCAAAAGATTTTGGAATTCTCAGCAGCTAAATAAGTTTCGAAGATTTAATTAGTAAACTTCTAGGCTGATAAAGAGAAACAGATGAGACTGGAAGAAACTCAAATGTTAAAAGAAAAGACGAAAAGATAATGTTTGTTGATGTGAAAGGAATATGGATGGCAATTCTGTGGTTAGATGCAATGTCTTAAATTTAATTTAGATTTAAGACTAATAATTAATTCCTAAATATATGCTAAGTAGTTATGAGATTTGAATATTTTTTTTAAAGAAATCATAGGTGAGAGAGAAGCTCGTCCAATGGGAAGTTTAAAATTAGAAAAAATTAATCTTAGTTTTGAGCTGAGTTTGTAGAAAACCTCTATGCAGTGATGGAGGAGGTACAGTAAAACTCTACATAATTCTCGTCTTCGAAAAACCCAAATATTCTAAAGCATTCTGAGGAAATATATATAATCAAATAAAGTAAATAAATTAAAATGCAAAGGAAGCAATTATTGTAGAGTAAAAGCATATAATAAACATCATTATCTTTCTATTTTAAACTAACTAAAGCTACGAAAAAGTCTTCAATAGTTGGAAATTAGACTTCCTCAGAGGTTTCTGCATTTAGCAAAATTTATTGACTTTAAATAGTGATTTTAATTTCACTTCTTTTCTCCGAAATATGTTTTATACTCTATTTCTAGTTCATTTTGTTTTCACTCCAAGAAATGTTTTCTATTTCTAGTTCATTTTGTTTTCACTCCAAGAAATGTTTTACACACATTTGTTTGTCAGAAGCGTATAGTTATCACTTCGTGGCTGCAACTGTAATGTTTTGGTTTGGTTTTTGTGATTATGGCAAAGCCTTGAGGGTTATCTGCCTAAGATGCCTTCGTGAAGGACTTTCTAAGAGAAACTTACTCGTATACACGTTACATCCGGGGAAAATCACGAAAACGTTCATGCAGCCAGCCCGTTCGCCCAATTCTTACCTCGGAATTACCAGAGTTCAGCGACTTTACCGCTCGGCCGTTGGTGGGCCCGCAATCGTGATGGATGGGACGGTTTTATGGAATGAAGTCAAATTCATCATTTAGTGCATTACGTCACTCTAAATCACTGGTTAACATCTGAGACATATTTTTTTTAGGTCTGAGACAAGTGTTTTTAGGATCTCTGTAATAAATAATGCACATGATGTACATAACCATGCAAAAGAATGATATTTAATTACACTTAATCAGCAAACTTAACTCGAATTAGATCGCTCTCTTTTGCCTGCGGTATTTGTTCTTAACAATAACCTAATTCTTACCGGAGTATTTTCAGCTGACTTATTACATCTGCATCAGCTGCAAAACTGGAAAAGATTCTAAAAGAGGAATGGAACAGCATATCTTTATTACGCAAAATACTCTCACGTTCAATCTAGCTACTCACTATACTCGCAGTGATCAACATTACATTGGTACAAAATGGTTTGGATTGGTTTATTTTGATTATGGCAAAACATGCGAAGGCTGTCTGTCTAATGGTAGAGATATCTTAACAGAGTTCTAACTACAAACCTGTTCGTATCCACGTCATACATGAGAAAAGCCACGGAAATGCCAATGAAGCCTGCCCATTCAACAGGATTCCAAGCCGGAACCAAATTGATAAGTATTCAATGACCTTATCCATTCGGCCCATTGATGGTTCCGGGATACAGAGTGGTACAAAACCCAGACTGATAAAAATGCCAGAAGTACTTGTTATTTTACCTATTCCCTGTGAAATAGTTTGAAATAGCATATTTACAGCCAAGTTCTTGAAACGTTATGGCAAGTAATTCTGTAAGGTTCTTCACGCGATCAGAGCCGGATTAATGGTGTTTGCTCAAGTTAAATAAGGCACCAATTCTTAAATCGCTAAAAATATTTGATTAAAATACAAGATTTCCATTAGAAACTTGGTAAGACAGATTAATTTTTTATTTTATTAAATAATAGCATTCAGTAGGCCTAACTAATTATTCATTTACCTCGTCACCATAGTTTTGAGACATTCTATAGTTTATTAGTATACACTATGTCCACAAAAATGGCCTTTATTTTCGCACCCGTTTGTGGTTGGTGGTATATTTCCAAATACAAAAATGTTCTGATTCTCATAAAAATTTATATTTTGGTATTTTAAAATTAAAATAAAGCTATTTTATGAAAATTGCGAGATTTAATTTTCTTTGCATTCGGCCAGTCTTTAAACGTTCGTACTCATCATTAGAAGAAATAATTCTACGACAAAAAATTACCTAGATATTTAATTTCAAATTTTGAAATTTGTATTCCATTTTCTGCTTGCTTTGAGAGGTCGCTTAAAAATATATTAAAGTAATTCGAGGTTTATTTCGCCCCTTAAAATGTTATTCAATAATACTCTTTTGTGATTTACCAATGCGTAACATTCTTTAATTTATAATTTTGTTGCATTTAATATGCCGAACGAGTTTTCATACAACTAATTTTAAAGTTTTTCAAACTTTAAATTACGCTACTAATATTTTCAGGAAAATTATTAAAAATAATCGTACAAATCAATCGTACAATAATCATACAAAAAATTCATTAAGCTGGAAATATTTTGCTGTGGGCCCATGCTGAAATCTCCCATTGCATTTTAGAAAGTGAATGCTAGAAGATTCTGCGAATAAGATTCCCTTTATGAAAAATTTAGAATGTTTAATGCTTTTCACGGCGGTCTGAATTGCAATTCTAGTAAATTAATCTATTACAACCAGAAAACTTTTCCGAAAGTAATATTCCATTTGGAAATATATGTAATACTTTGTAATATATACTTGTATGTAGCCATTGTCTTGTATGTACTTATATGTAACTATTGTATACAATCAATGGTTTCGAATGTAAAGACCGCATAAGGACTTCTATGGCTACAGTGTGTATTTTTATTAGATTATTTATTTTCCCCTTATTAAAATGAAATGAATCAAATTTACAGATATTTATCCGATCATATTACATCAAAAGGCTCCATTGACGCTCATCGGCCTGAGCCTAAAAGGATCTTTGTCTGGCTTTGACACTGGTGTATTGTCGATGTATATTGCCATTCAAATAATTCTATTCTAATTTTTTTTATCTGGTTTCATATTTTATTATATATAGCACAGATATTTTTGCTTAGTGCAAACAAAATGCATTTACTCAGAAGGCTTTTACTATCGTAGCAGATAAATCCAGCAAGTGAGACATCAATGAGAGACGATATCTCAGCTGACGAGATATCCAACTGCGGTGTTAGAAGAAGAGAAAATGAAGAAAAGTCAACCGAAACTGAACTTCAACCTATATTAGAAGTCAGCGAAACTTAGTAATGTAATTTTTATTATAAAGTTAGAGCTATTTTCATAAAAGAATTTAAGCATTTATTAGTTATAAGGAAAAGAACTTATTATGAAATTCTATAACAAAATGTTACCACAGTTTAGAAAAGACTACTTGAAAGGTAAATTGTTTCCGCGTTTAATTAATTTTAAAGACTCACACAGAGTATTACATGATAACTGAATCGAACATTGAGAAGTAGAATTAAAACACTTGCAATGAAGTTAAGGCCACCTATCATTTAATCGGGTTCTGTTAAAGCAAAAGTTAAGTTATTTTTTTTTATTGCACGATAATGAAAAATTTTTTATCGCAAAGCACAAGCTTTTAACAACTCAGTCTACGGAGAATATAAAAGGAAATAAAAAATAAGTATAGTAATAACAGTGTCAGACTGTGATGTCATATTATTTCCGAGTTGCATTTTATCCACAACACATGCCTAATTTGGCAATAAATCATAAAACGTGGCTAAACTTAACGGCCATTTGGCGATATTTCGATCCGGTCCCTGTGTGATCGTAATTGGTTCTGTAATTGAATACCAGTAATTGATCCCTATATTTAACTGCTACCGTATCTGGCCCTAATATGCAACTGTAGCTGTATATAACTTCTAGTAATTTCGAGAAAGGGAAAATACTGGAAAATACCCGGCTGCTTCAGAAAACTGTAAAAGACTGGGAAGAGCATCATTTCTCAGAATGTTTAAAGTTAGATCTCCGTGCGAGCTTCGCTCTTTACATGCGCTTTGCACTGCGTTCTGTTTAACATTCTTAGTAGTTTGGTAACTACTGATTGCACTCTGTCCTAGTGAGATAAACTGTGCAACCACCTTTTTCGGAAAGTTCTAGAAATGCTAATTGTTCCTTTTGGAAAAATAAATCTTATAAAGTATCATCGATTTTGTGTGCACTCAATCCATTACGAAGCTTTACGCTCGCAAAATTATTATAGCACAAAAGCAAAATGTCTAACAGGTCATTTTTTTTCGCGAGTTTGAACTCATTGTCAATGATCAAGTTTACCAGCAAATATTTTTCTTCGATGTCAATTATAATTTTTGTCATTTTGAATGATGTTTATTTTCCCATTATTTTTATTACTTTTTAAAATACTAAATTAATTTAAGTAACGAACGATCTTATTGTTCAATTTAAGCTGCTTGAAAATGAAGTTAAATTGTTAATAGTATTTTCCTGTTAATTGGCATATGATTGTTCTTCTTCCTTGTGCTTTTTTAACTGTCCTAAAACTAGCTGGTTACAAAGTCTCTTGTATCACCTCGGTAAAGCGATAGCTGGCTTCACGAACAGCGAGTTCGAAAAAAAGTAAAATCGATGCTATTTAAAGTTGAAATAATTTGAACGGCATTCAAATTTGAATATCAGCTTTTTCAATATACTAATCTTTTATCCAACGCATATTTTTAGTTAAAATATATATATGGCTATTATGAATATAGATAAACCTTCAAGAGCATTCAGCATCAGCCGGAATAATCTTCCTGACGAAACATATTAAAAGATCTTAGCACTATTAATTCATTAATTGCCCTTTCACCATATGTATCACAATTTGTTTTGCTGTTTGAACTGTGTTTTTCTCTTTGTGTAAATAGGCGTAGAACCCTTTCTGTATGAAGAATTTTCATCTCAAAGGCACCATCCCTTTCGCCGTATAGAATTCAGTTTTTTAGTAAATTTATTCCTGTTACTGTACATTTTCATATTTTGGGGTCTTAACAACAGGGAAAGGCCTATAAAATCTGTTCTTATAGATATTAATAAAAATTTCCCTCGATTCACATGTCAGAATATATTTTGTGGAAGTGATTGTATTATTAATTCACATTTTAACTTGGAGAATATATGTAAGGCTTTTCGAGCTCGAAGATCTGACTTTATTATTAAATAAAAATTAAGTTATAACTGTTCTCATTCCTGAAGAAATTTGAAGAAGATTCAAGTCGTTGCAACATAAATCGTAAAAGAATTCAAGATAATCTATTATTAATTGTGGTTACTTGAATAAGAAACATTAAAATGCAAAAAACGCAAGTAACTCTGAAAAATATTTGTAAAATAACATACTATGTTAGAATAATAAAGCTAACAACTGAAACATTGCACCAAACTGCTCTTGTTTTCCTCAAGTTAAAATAAACTACTGGTAATTAAAAATTATGTTATCTTAACACTTCCTACTTCCTTGCTTTACGTACAAAGAGAAGCAGAAGGTAATGGTTTAGACCAGCGATTCTGAACCGGTAATATGCTTACCACTGGTGGTACGCAAAGAAAGAAATTATTTTTAAGTGTTAAAAATAAAAAATTAAATTCCCCACTATCCTATTTAAGTTTCTTTAACACTCGTAAATTTATGCGATTTGAGCTTTGGGTCAATAGCCGTTCATAGATTTTAGCAAAATGATACTTCTTTTTAAAATTTTTAAAAATTTTTACAAATATTCTTTTAGACGTAGACGTAACAAAATTTTTCAGAAATCATGTTTTTAAAAGGAGTAATAGAAATGGATGTTGTATTTAATAGGAAGTAAAAATTAACTTGATATAAAAATATAATAGTATTTCATTAATTCGTCTATAGCTGATCGATTTATTATAATGTCTACACTTTATGTAGTTATATTTTCGGGCTTATTTTGCTCCATTTTCAATTAGAATAATATTTTACGTCGATTTCCTGTCTCTAACAGCAGGTATTTTGTCTCCTTGTTGCTTTGTATTCCTTACTTTTCCACGCGATTTGAAAATATCGTCTTTTGTTTTTGAAGAATTCGTAATACTTGTTCATTTAAATATTTGTCAAAAACTAATAAACCAAACCTAGATTTTTCAAAATGAAAAAATGGCTAAAATTGACTAAGGGGAAATATGATGATTCGCAGGTGATGGACCCAGGACAATAGCACTAAGAATATTGAAAAGTAAAGGAAAATTATTTATAGAAAATATAATAAAAGTTATTTATCATTTGAGTTTACTTGGAATAGAGGTGAAATGGACCCTCAACCTCAATGTGATGCTTGCGGTGAACTATTATATAATCAAAGTATAAAACCATCGTTCCTTAAAAAGACATATTGAATCTAAGCATACCATTTTAAAGGATAAATATAAAGATTATTTTAAGAAGAAATTATCGGAGTTCAAAAATAGTAAACAAGCAATGAAATGTTTTGTTACTTCAAGTGAAAAAAATTCGGAAGCTAGTTATTTAGTAAGCCTAGGAATTGCCAAGAGTGGGTAGGCTCACACTATTGGATAAAACCTTATATTACCAACAGATAAAGACATCATTTTAACATTATTCAACGGAAAAATAGTTAATGAACTTAAACATATTCCGTAATCAAATCATACAGTAAGTCGACGAGTTCATGAAATGGTAAATTTCATAAAAGGGACACTTACTCAAAAAGTAAAACACAGTGAGTATTTCGCATTGGAATTGGATGAAGGTACTAATAACAAACTTTGTTCAATTATTAGTTTACATACGTTTCGAAGAAGATGAACGAATTGCAGAAGGGTGTTTATTTTGCCAATAAAAATCCATTACCTAAAATTTTATCACATGAAGAAGAAAAACATTGATAGAAATTTTCTGTGATCAAACTCTAACTGAAGATTTCAAAACTGACACATTTATTAACTTTTGGCTGAACAAAAAAAAAAAAAAAAAAAAAAAAAAAAAAAAAGAAAAATAAAGAAAAAACTGAAAGGTTTCAGATTTTAAATTGCGTCCAAAGGGACGTTTTGTTAACTTTTTGTGAGTTACCTTTATTTATTAAATATATCGTTCTTCACACTTAAACCATAAAATTCAGTTCAACAGCAATATCGCAAAATAGTTTTAAAATGAGCATATTTTTAGAATTTCCGATACAGAGACTCACGCGTTGGAGATAAAAGTGCTTTTTCTGTACAAATTGCTCGCTTTGAAATTCTTGAGTTTGTTAATCAAAAATTCATTAAAGTTTTACAAAATATGAAATCGATAATAAAACAAATTTCAAATTTGGTATTCCACATGCCCTTATTCGTAGGAGGGTTACGTTATTCAAAATTCGGTTTTATCACAATGCGAGAAATATACATACATTTACGCAGATTTTTCATTATTTAATTTCTTCAAATATAATGCAGGACTCTAACATTTTGTGGCAACAGTTTGAAAAGTGAACCGACATTTATAGTTATTCAACGCAAAATCGCAAAACGAAAACAATAATCCTTCAGGGACAAAGCCCCTTTCATTAAAAAGAATTTAAAGGCATTTCAAATAAAGAAATGAAATTTTTATTGCCTTTTTGCACAATCTATTTGTGTGAACAAGGATTTTCTTCCAAGATATATTTTAAGAATAAATACGAACAAAACTAAAAATGGATCCTAATTTGCAGTTAAAACTAAGTGAAATGATACCAGACATAAAGAAATTGATCTCTCTTAAACAGGCCTAAATTTCACACTAAATTTTAGAAGTAAAATATTATAACTGAAATGGTCACAAAATTTAAATCGGATATTTTTTGTGTGTGCATATTTAATAAAAATAACCAATAGTTTGTACAAATGGCAATATATATATATATTTAATATTTCTACTGAGAAACTGAGAAATAATCATTGTAAAATGTAGTGTTGTTACTAAAGTTTTTCAAATTTTGTTTAGAGATGGTACGCGTTAGTCAAAAGGTTGAGAAGCGCTGGTTTAAACCAATATGTGGGAGATAACATGCAGAAAGGAGATGCAAATAATTTAATTGTGGATATGCTTAAATAACAACGAAAGTTTTTTTTTTTTTTTTTTTGATGCTTCAGCAGTTTGATGAACTGCTGTGCCCTCTTTCAACAATTAATACAAAGGCAAAAGACTATTCCAAGAAAGTATTGTTTGGAGGATAGGAAAATGATACCACAAAAAACGATGGTTTTTTACATATCTAATTCATTTCACTCATGAATTTTGTTGAATGACATTTAAAAATTCTTAATTATATATTTCAATTTTAGAGAATAAGTGTTTAATTGGAAAGGACACTTTATTAAATTAAAATTTTTGCATGATGTATGTATTTCTAATACAAATGGTTGCATTAATATCATTAAAAATTAAGTTTTGTTATAATGTGTGTGAGATTTATAGAATTATCAAATAACTATCCCACTTGAAAAAACGCATACTTTTCTATTGATACCTTAACTAAAAGTCATATTTTCAAGTTTTGTTTTAGAAAGTCACTTTTGTCGAAACCTCATTGAAATAACTGCATTATGTACAGTGTAATTTACTACCAAACTGAAAACTAGCAAGGTGTGTAGGAGGTACAGAGATGACTCGGGACCTTACAAGAATCCAGGGCCGCAAATGCCAAAGTTTCGAGCTATGGTGCACAAAGAAGCAGAGAAAAGGAACATAAACAGTAGAACATTAATGGGGCAGAAAACATTTTATTGAAAACTTGTATTACAAGAGGTGTTCGAAATTACGACCAGAAGTTATCAGGCAGGCCTCACAGCGGCGCTGCCTGGAATTCCTTACGTTTTGGAAGATTCCTCCCATTAGTCCTGCGGTAGACAGCTTTGAATAAAAGGTTGCGTGAAGAGCGATTCGTTTCTCAAGGCAGTAGTATGAATGCGTGTTCAAACAATGAATTGGTCGACATGCTGATTGTACATGAAGTTGCAGACTGTAACGAGTACGCCATTCGGTGGTTGTACCAGGAAGGTTACCCGAACAGGCGTGCTCCCTATCACACGACTTTCACAAATGTGAACAGAAGAGCCATCAAAATGCACAGAAGTATTCTGCTAAACTTGCATTAATCTAAAGCTGAATTTTATCTTTCTTTAAATGTCACATACTGGCAAACTTCCTTTTTGTATAACAGCTTTCTTAATTTTTTTTAAGAAATGGCTTACCAGTCACGAACTTAAAACTAAAAACTCACTAAATTAAAAAAAATTAGATATAAAAAAATAACAACCTCAAATAGGTTTAGATTTTAAACAAAATTCAAAATCTAGGAATTCGATATCTTTCATTATTCTCTTCCTTTAGACTGTTATGTAAAAATTATCAACCATATCTCATTTCTTTTTGATAATCATGGTGTGTTACTCTTAATATATCAGATAATTTTATTATTGTATCAAATTGTACATTTTAACTATCTTCTGAATTTACTTTCATTAAGATTGTTTTCTATTTGCGTTCATATTTTCCCCGAGAAGAAAAGAATATTTGAAACATATTCATTTACAAATTGCGGCAAAAAACGGAAATTTGAGACGAGATATATAAACAGACATGTCAAGTAGCAGAAAATTGGGTCAACACCCGCGTTTCAGGCCAAATACGTATATGTAAAGAAAAAAAGCTTCTACAGACGTAATGCAAACCAGTTTGACTACTGCGCTGCTAGATCGCGGAAGAACAAGTTTTCGTTGCCAAACTTCCAGGTATACAAGAAACTGAGGAATACGGTACAAAAACCGAAGAACTTACAGGATTTGTTTATTAAAAAAAATTCGCGATAATTTAAACTTGGATTTTCGTATATTTCGTCACTCAAAATAAATAATCTATTGAATAATCTTGCGCGGATCACTGATTTGATATACATCGATAGCGCGAGGGGGGGCAGGTATCACACTGAAATCAGACATTGAAATGAGAACACTGAAATCTTGACAAACGTGATCTTTTTCACACTTGCTCGCAAACTATTTCGCGCATGCGAGAAAAGGTATTAAGGCTGGATCTGGTTAGACTCCGGCTCGACAGCTATTTCGCGCAAGCGCAAGAAAGTATTAAAGCTCAATGGGTAGTCCCTGTAAAGTAAACTTGGAATATGTTTTTCCTTCTGCGGTCAGACGGAGCCACTCTTGTTTTGGCGAAGCTTTCATGTTTGACCAGTGGCGTAGCTAGAATTCCAGCGCCCGGGGACAACTGAAGAATTTGCGCCCCTTTCTGTGTGCCAAAAATGGAAAACATTTCCTTAAAAAATTTCATAGCATCAATTTGGCGTCGCCTGGATGCTGCGCCCGGGGACAGATGTCCCTTCTTGCCCCACCACTTCTACGCCACTGTGTTTGACATACACATTTTTTGCTAATAATACAGTCTCCGAGCTCTTCTCTGATTGGCTACAGTTTTTACTCCGATGCGACACCGCTTAAGTGTTAATTAACTTTAGGAGACACATCTTATCAACCAGAAATATGAGGTATAAATCACTGGCGAATAGTTATGATTACCAGTGCATCATAATTACGAACCATGTTCCGCTTTAATTAACATAGCTTTAATTTTGTACTTTTTGCATCGTTAATGGTTAGCATTATGTATCATTTCTTATTGTAGTACTTGAAATTTCCTTTCCCAGCTTTAATGAAGCACCCCTGAGCAACAATATTTGTAAATTAATAAAACCATGGTAGTCACTGTAATTTTTGTACGGGGGAAAAACAGAAAATGACATTATTTAACAAACCGATTTTCTACTCTGTTAAATCGGAAACTATGCAAAATCAAGAATACTATTGTTGGAACTGGAGCCACCGGTCTTTCACTTGCTAACTGAATATTATTACTTACATTATGATAGCATGCATGGAAGAATGCGATGATTCGTTAAAATCTATATCTAGATGTGCTTACTTTCTAATACCATGCATGGAATCTTACAGTTTACTTGCAATCATAATTTATCTTTTTAATATTTAATATGATTTATTTCAAACGCTAAATTTTAATTGGAATATTTAACACTTTTGTTAATATCATTTTTATGATATACAGTGGATTGTGTTTCTTGCATGTGACTAACAATTTTAAAATGACAGAGGATGCAGTTCTTCTATTTTTATACTATCTAATTTAATTGATAAAAATAAAATATATTAATTCCATACACTAATAATTTCCTGTGCTTTTCCTAATTTCACAAATAACTTCAACTATTTCTCATGAATGTAAATGTAAAGCTGCAACAACATTTTTATTTTTGTTTCAGATGATATTATCTTCAGTAAATGATGATACTGAAAGATTACAGCTGCAGTTAAAGTCCAGTTGTACAGAAATGGAATTTCCTCTTAAAGCGTCTAATAAGAAGACAGAGACAAATACAGCCAAAAGCCAAAAGGCACAAAATGATGCTCAGAGTATTAAAGATTGTAACGATGAAGAGTTGAAACACGAAAAGAACGTTTATTCCAGCAACAGTAATACTGCTGAAATTTTACCATCTGCCATTTCATATCCAGACGTAAAAGAAATTGATACAGATTTCCAGCCACGTGATTCTGCAGCTGTTAATGATGCTGGTCAGCCTTCGATTAAGTACCAACATATAGCCATTCAAACAGAAGGGATCATTAATGCTCCTACAAGCAAAGAAAAGGCAAAAAAGAACTCTGAAACAGCTGCAATTCTTAAAAGTGCAGTTTCCTCACAAACATTTACTAAGTGCGACGACAATGCAGCACAAACTGAAAAAGCTTCTCATTACCCTATCAACAGATTTCATGATATGGCTACACAAACAGAACTTTCTCATACTACAAAGTTAAGCAGTTTTAGGATATACGATATGAGCAGAAACAGAGTTTGTGACCAGTCCATTCAAGCGAATGGTAGGGAGAATGATTTTGTTTTTTAAAAAATTTTTAATTTAAATATTCTTTAAATAATAATCCTTGTTACACTCGTTAAATAGATTGAAAGTGGTTGCATTCAAATTCGAGAAATTTATAACCTACTAGCGACCCGCTCCGGCTTCGCACGGGTATAAAATATTAATGGATATTTTAACAATGAATCGCAGTTCATAATCTTTTTCTGAACTTACATACCTCACCTTAAATTACGATTTTGAAAATAATTTCCCTAATATTAAATTGATTTAACTCTAAATTTTAACCAAGATCTTAATAGAAAATTCCAATCCATAAATTATGGTTTTATTTAATCTAATCTTATCTAACCTTATGTACTTATAATTACTATAAGTGCGATTTAAAAATTCATCTACCTTAGAATAGAATATCATTTATATTTTAAAACTACTATCCATACAATTATTTATCGTAACTTCATAATAACTGATACGTTGTCGTTATTATGAAGTAAATAACTGATACGTTGTCGCGCTGAAAAACACGTATTTATTAAGTATATTGTTGTTTTCCTCGCTAGAGTGCTCCGATAATAAACGCGTCCGATCGCTACTAAATTCAGAAGTGCTATAGGGAGAACCGCGGCCTTCCGACGCGCTATTTATAGGCACGCTCCCGCCGCCCCGGCCGGCCGGTACCGCCGCAAACGCTACGTCCCGCAATTTTTAAATCTGTAGACCTTTTCAATGTGTACAATACTTAGCACATTATTTTGATAAATCTCGTAGGGTTCAGCCTGCGTTTGCAATGTAGGCGGAAAAAATGTAATTATTTACGACATCACATTGAAAACCTCAAAAATAACAGTATTTCTCCACTATTTAATGGATCTTATTATACATATAAACCTTCCTCTTCAATCACTCTATCTATTAAAAAAAAAAAAAAAAAAAAAGGAACCGCATCAAAATCCGTTGAGTAGTTTTAAAGATTTAAGCATTAGTAGGGATATAGGGACAGAGAAAGCGACTTTGTTTTATACTATGTAGTGATGATGTAACTTATGCATAGAGTTTTAATAATCTTTAATTTGAAAAATAGCTAGCCTTATTTCTGAACAAACGTACCTATGTATAGTTTGTATACATAACAGAAGAAGTGTGTCTCACATATGCATATAATATTACTTAAAAATCTATAATTTTCTGTAAATTTACAATGGTATACCCGAGAAAAAGCAGAGAAGGTAATCGTGATCTTTATTAATCTACAGACGCACTTTTAACTTCAATCGCTCAAGTTCGGGAGTTGAAACGATATGCACTGAATTGATATGAGCAAATACTGGATTCAGATGCTTGAAAAGGTGAAATGAAATAAAGAGTGTCTCAAAAAGGTCGCTTACAAATTCAGACCGTGACGAATAAGTTTTGCATAGGAAGTTGTATCCGAAACCGTGATGGGCGAAGTTGTATCCGAACCAGCCGCCGCTTGAAGGCGATATTCGCAGACATATTGGAGAGAGCCTAATCATTTCAGGAGGAGAAGGGTGTATCGGTTCAGTGGTAGGGATGTATCGCATCCTTGTGCAATATGCACACGACGCTGGAGCGAGGTACACCCAAGCCATGTTCGATTGTTCTGGTACTTGTTCTCGGGTTCCTCTTAGTTTCCCGTGGCATAGTTTCCCCTATGACAGGTATGCATGCAATACGTTCAGGCTTATATTACTCGGATAGTTCCAGTGCCACTTTATTTGCGGTGCAGTTGTCCAAACCAGGGATCCCATGCCTGGATTTTTCCACCCACATCTTGGCTTTTTTTGATGGCCATCTGGGTTGACAGATTTGTTTTTTTCTAAAAAATATTTACTTATCTTTTTTTTTTTTTTTTTTTTGAGGTGGGCAATTTTTAATATTAGTCCAAAATGTACTTTCATTTTTTGTAAATACAGTAAAATTTAATGCATTTAATAACAATTTACAAGTTTCTGAATTGTCTGTTCTAGCAATACTAATTATAACTTGTAATATTTCAAATGTACTACTGTGTACTGTTCAAGTGTACTACTTCAAAATCCTACAAATATAAGATGATTTTATAATCTTTGCGGAGTTCTACCCCATACTTTCCTTTCGTGTTCTTAACATGTTATATGCTCATTCTACTGAGCAGGGGGAAGGAGATTTTTACTGTATAATCTTCGTGATCGTTCGTGGAATTATTGCATTTTTTGTAGTAATTTTTATACTTGTGCAGCATAAAATGATTTAAGAATTTTAAATTGTAGTACTTATTTGTATTTTATGCTATGGATAAGTGCTTTATTTTTTATTTTATACAAGATTTTTAAATAAGGTAATTACTAAATAGCCACACATAATGTCTGAAACTTGTTCTGCTCAGATAAAAATGAGTACATGGTGGTATACTCAAAATTTTAGATATGAATGGTTAGACGATCTGAAATTAAAAGACTGATCGAAAGAAGAAAGTAATGAAAAAGTTGCGTCTTACTAATATATTTTTTGTGAAATTAAATTAAACAAGGCCACTTACTTAGCGTACATAAATACAGTTAAACATAAAAAAGTGCAAGTATTGCTAAACAAGTTCAACTTTAGACACATTTTTCTGAACCTATGGAGAAAGAATAAAAAGCAAATGCAGAGTTAACAGTTGCTGTACTCATTCCTAAGCATGAAACTCCATTTGCGTAATTTTGATCACCTTATTCAAGCATGGTCAAAAAGCATTTTATGATAGCAATATTGTAAAAAAAAAAATTCAGATAAACCGACTAAAGTGTCTTATTGTATATTAGATAGCATATCCTATCTTGAAAAAATATGCATTTCTAATACATGGAGAAACAAGTTTCAGAAGAATATAAAGGCACTTATAATATATATCTGTATCACAAGTTGTTAGATAATTTGATATTTAAAGACTTGATGGTGTGGGTATATTACTTGACATCGTTCCAGGTCAAAAAGAGTATTTAAGAAGGGCTTTATCAAGCTGCAAAAGATCGTTTCGTGGAAAAAACATTCCAACCAATAATCTCTTTGGGTTTGAAGTTGATAATTGTGTCACTCTGATTGGTACTAAAACGGGTGCAGTCACTGGTAAAAAAAAAGATGTGCCATCGTCATTTAACATGAGATACGTTTGCGATTCTTTTGCATTATATGCTAGTTATACAATGAAGGTACTACCATCATATCTAGAAATATTCATAAAAATTTTCTCTTATTATTTTCATCGTGGTAGTAAAGATGTTCAAGATGTCATAGGTATTGATAGGTTATTTAATATCATAGATATTGATAAGCATAAAATCTGCAAATTACACAAATACGTTGGTTATTCAGTGGCTTGGCTTAGTTTATTTGATTATGGAAGAGAACGCTAGGACTATCTGTCTAACGAAAGAAAGGCCTTCGTGGAGGACTTTGTAAGAGTTGCAATATTATAATCACCAAAAGCACTAAGTATATGTTACTGTTGGTTTCTCATAAAAGATGGAGACATTACTTCATACAGATTAATTAAGATTGATTCAAGCAATGCAAATACGATCAATCAAGCAATACTCGTAAATCATATACCTTTGAACAAAATTTATCTGAGAGGCCGCCGTATAGCTTTATTAAATTCAGCATCACTTAATGACAATGAAAGCAGGTTTAAAAACAATCGTTTAAAATATTTTTTTTAAATTAGTATGCAAATGGAAAAGACATTTCCTCTAAATGATTATGAAATTGTTTCTAGTCTCAGTGTTATCGAACAAGTAGCGGCCCATGATCATGCCAAATCGCTGTGCTCAATTTTACATTTAATAAAGCAGTTCCCTCACATTGTTTCTAAAGACAATATAAATCTTCTAGATGACGAATGGAGATCTTTTCGTTCAAATCAAGACTTAGATCTTCCTTACAAATCTATTCCTGAATATGAGTATCTGCTACATAATGTAAAACATGGTCTTTAATAATTCTAAATATGTTATCTAACTAAATGACCAATCTAACTATTTTCCCTCACTCCTTGACTAGCGTACAAAGAATCTCCTCTCATGTAAACCAACCATATCTCTCTTGAATCGGAAGCAGTAAAAGACCATCTACTTGCAAAACTGGTAATAAATAGATCTAATATAAGCAGGTGATTTCTTATATTCCATATATAAACAGGTAATCTGTTATATATGGAAACATGAATGAAAATTGGTTAAATTAGTGATACAAAGAACTTGTTGTAAAAGATACGAAGAACGTTAAAAAAATGAAAGAATTTCAAAACCTATATGTAGATGGAATTGAATTCAATGAAAATTCAGATTACAATTAAATCAAATATATTTATGCGTATTAAGATTTATCTTATTTCTGTCGCTGTAGTATATCATGAAAACTAGGTATTTGATGGATTTATTTAATTTGCAATCTAAATTTTTTTTTAGTTTGTGAGTAGGAGTTCTGCTCCAAACAATGGATGACCTGGTAGGCGTCTGTTTCATAATTGCGATAGGTATACGTGTCTCGCGGCTTGTCCATTTCCATTTACGGCCCCATAAATGAAATGCACATTGGCCAGTTCCCAAAAATGTAAGGTATCGTTTCTGAGCTTATGCATTCTCTTCTGCAACGTCCTTGCCTGAAGTGATTCCGCTTTCCGATCTCCATTATGCCTGCGAACATCGCCCTCTAGCGGTCACTGTTTCGGACACACTTTCTACGTAAAATTTGTTCGTCATGGTCTGACAGAGACCAGCGCATACAGTTTGTAAACGACCTTTTTAGATGCCCTGTACGTTGGTTGTACTTGGTATGGTGTTGCTCGTAGATATTTATCAGGATTATATTTGCGAGGTTTTATAAGGTGTAAGGTATATTTTAATTTTATGACAATTATTTTGAGTTTGTGCTTCTTTCCTATCGTACCTAGCTCCAACTTACAACTACTTACCAGTTGTAATCCTGAGTTTTTGGAATCGCGTTGAATGCAAATGAGAAGGAGAACAGTATTGAAGTCAACTTCAACTGACTTCGCCAGAGAGAATTGAGATTCCTGAGTAGCGCGCGTTTGCCTTTCGGCTACGTCTCTCTAAGCGTTACTACGCTCAACCGTATTTTACGTGCCTTTTGATAGTTCGCTGGCTAATTTAATATTACAGGACAACTAGATTAGAATTGTGTTAGCTTCAGCTAAATCTCTTTATTTATTCATTAGTTAGTTCTTATTTCTTACATTTTGAGTTTAAGCCCAAGTGGAGGCTTTGCTATACGTCCTGAGAAAGGAGACGACTGTTAAACTTATTTTGAAGTTTACTTTTCTCTTTTCGGACTTTAGCCATTATTCGCTTAGCAGATCACTAGGTTCATGGACACTTAGTTTAATAGAATAAAAGTGAGGAAAACATTATACCTGTGATTATTTATAAGAATTTCTTTTGTAAGTGAGCAAAGCTCAAGTTCTGCACAAATATAAAATTACTGTTAGTTGAATCATTTTTCGTTCCTATATCCTTTGAGGTATCATATAATTTTTATGTCAGTATGTAAAGTTCTTAAATATTATATTGTACATACATTAGAATTTCTGAATCTGTAGCATTTTTGTAGGGTACCAGCCCTTAATTAACTTAGTCCCTAATGATAATAATAGGCGATATATAAGCCATTTTAATAAAGCAGCTCAGAAGAAGGTTTGAACAAGAATTTTCATTTAAGACCTGAACAGATGCACTGCTTGTGCTTACAGAATTTATTTCCGAAGCTTACCGGGTTCAAATATTATAAAAGTTAAAGTAAATTAAACATGAATTCACAAATACAAATGTCTAACAAGCGTTGGCTAAACCTAAACTAATGTGCACTAGCAACTCTGCTAGCAAAAGGCTAACGCTGATGTATAGTGATTAACAGTGGTCGAGTAATTATCACAACGGTTAATGCTGCTGCAAAAACTCTCTCTTTAATATTTAAGAACTCAGTTCTTATATATACGTATCTAATTTGCATCCTGGTAAGACCTGCTGAAAAGTAGAAATAATAATATAATGGGTTAATTAGTATAAACTTAATATGTTGAAAAGTTTTTCAACTTTTCAACATATTAAGTTTATATTGTATTAAAGACATTATGTTTATATTGTAATCTAATTGTATTAAAGACATGTGCAGTTGCGAATTATATCAGTTCAACATAAAATGTTGCGAACTTCACAACAATAACTTTTCCCGTGAACACTTTAAGCGATTTAAATTTATACTCAAATTTCTTACATATGACTGCATTATGTTTATCAGTTTCTAAAAGTGCCTTTATAAATTCTTAAGTTTTAAAGAAAAAGCAATATTTGCGTTTATCAGATTATCGTTTGCTTACAATACTGCTATTTTATAGGTATTAAAATGGCGTCTGATGATCAAAGTTTTGATTTTAAAATCAATGGGCATATGACACCAACTTTCTCCGAAGAGTCAACACTCAGAAATTCCATTCCACTCTTTCATATTCATGACGAAATGAAAGTGAATGAGCGCTTCTGCAAAATGCCCCATTTTGAAATTCGCAATGATATTGTTCAACTTGATAAATCTAATGAGACAACTGAAAAATCAAAATACCTTCAAAAAGTATTACTTAAAATGAAAAATAATGAAGACGATCTCTGCGATGCAAAATTTAAAAGAACATCAACAGAATCAGCAGGCAAGTTGAAGCAAGCCGATGTTGTTAAGGCCCAAGTTAAGAGCAGAATAAACAAGGCAAAATCATTAAATTTACTCTCTTCTGAAAAGTACGTGAGTATATTCGATTTAAACATAAAGAAGCCTCGAAAAATCATCATAAATCCCGTGAATATTATTTGCTGCTCGAAAGACGAACATAGTCGTATTCTAAGCAGAAAAGATAAAGATGATTTAGTAAGTTTATCAAGTAAGACTGAAAAAAGTTCGAATGTTGACCTTTCCAATAAAAATGAACTTAGTCCTCAGTTTGTGGTAAGTATACATTTTAATGATGTATTCTTTTGCATAGTAAGAAATCAAGTTAATATGGGATATAATATTCTACAGAATTGGAAAATGTGCCTGACGGTCTCAAGCAAAAAATATACTCTTGCTTAAACAATAAGCAACACACGCTAAAAGAATAGTACGAATGTAAAATGGGGAGTTGAAACATGCAGTTTATTTATGAGGCAGAGGTTGCATCGCTAAATGCAAACAGGCAACCAAAATTAGTATAAAATGCCGTCGTGCAATAACACCACAACGCCTTAAAAAGGGCATGCCGGGTCTATGCGTCACTTGACAAGCGGCGACAGTTCCGTGTAATCCGAGATAGCCAAAGAGGAAAGCATGAGCCGAATACACAATTTGCATGATGAAATCGTTGAAGAGCTGTCAGGCTGTTGTATGTCGGTGCAAAGCAATCTGCTGTTGCTACAGAGTTGAATGTGCATCGTAATTTCATGAACACGCTATGGAATCATTACAAAAGGAATCAAAACCTCTCTAGAAAACGTGAGTCTGGATGTTTGAGGATTAACCCAACGGCAGACGATCGTTTCGTAGATAACTAACAAACAGAATGACAGCTAGTGTCGCATCTCTCCATTATGCAAGACAGCCCATATCCCGCCAACCTGTATTCCAATGACCTGTGGTTTGTATTTCTTTGTTCCTATTGCATGTCAGAGTGCAGCTGAATTGGACCCGTTGACATCGCGGTTAGGCATTAGAGCAGTGGGGCTACATACTCTTTACGAGCGAGGCTCTATTTAACATCTACAATGATTCCCGAAGGGCAATGCTGGCTATAGCCAGGACACGCTATCAGGCGCTAAACGCCGTCAAATGAGATCATTACAAAGGAAAAAGGCGTCTTGTATGGGCTGGGGATAGCAACGAACGCCCTAACCAATCTTTACGGGATTCCTGGTGGTTAGCCATCCGAATATTGCGAGGAAATTCTACTACCACTTGTGCTTCCTTTTATCGCTGCAATAGGTACCGAAGCGATATTTATGGACGACTTCGCTAGCCCGCATAGAGCTCGAGTGGTAAGGACTTTTTCATGGTTTCACTCTCCAGAAACCATTCCACATCTGCAGTGCTTGCTAGATCACCGGACCTGAATCCCATACAGCACGTGTGGGAGATGTTGGGACGACGGATAAAAGGTTGCAGTGTGCTTCCAGGCACCTTCTACGAGCTCCGACATGTATTACTACAGGAATGGGTGCTACTACCACAACAAGCGATCAACGACACTATTGTCAGCTTGCTTCGCCATTCTGCGTTTCAGTTAGAGGATAACGTACTCGTTATTAGCGTGATGTTTCCATTGCATATTCTCCTAACCCATTTGGTCTTTTGTGATGTGATGGTCGTAATAAATGCATTTTTGTATGGCTATGCTTTATTGTTTGCTATGTAGTCAAATAATGCCATACCAATCTCTTAGATCAATTTTACGCATATCCGTTGAATAGTTTTTATTTTATTCCGTGTTTTGCCTTTGTTGCTTATTTTTTAAGCAGAAGTGTATATTGGACAGTTTATTTTGTTAGTATTTTATCACAAATGCACATATTTTGGTATTCCATATCTGCTCTCTCAGTCTGAAAATTACAAAAATATTAATAGTTTCTAATTCATAATTTAAGCGTTAGATGATGTCACAAGAAATGACTGTTCAGTTTAATCAATTAAATATAAACAAACGTGATTTACTAAGGAGTCACAAATACAAGGTGTCCATATTGTTCTTCTTTAAATTCAATGGTAAAAAACTGAAACTTGGACGATTGTAAATTTTGGGTATTTGAAACATTGCTGAGACACTACAAATTTTATCTGGAATGTTATGAAAGGTTCGCTTTCTACTTGGAGATCCACACAATTTGTAAGGTACGGCTTGTATAGTAATTCAGTTCACTGTGTACTAGACTGAAAAGCGAGTTATTGTTTATTACGAAGCAATGACAAATTTGTGAGAAGGTTAAAATAACCTTTTTATTTAACTCTTTAAATAAACAGAAAAATAAACGGTTACTTGAAGAAATAAATATTCACTTATCTTGTGTTTTTGTTGTGGAACTCGGTCATATATTTTCCCACTAAGTTGCTCTTTGTTGGCTCTATCGTTAGTTTTTTCTTTTCATCGATTTTCTTTGACCTTCAGAATATTCTCTCTTCCCTACGAAGTCTGCCATCCATCTGTGCTTTTTGATAGCTGGTTCTTTTAATTTTTTTTTCATAGTGGTTCCTCATCCAGCGGGCTCATTTGTAGTATAGATTTCCCCTTAATTCATCATCATTTTCCCGTCAATGCGTACATTCTGATGATATTGTTGACTTTGACCTCAACCTGCCGTTGTTTAGTACTCGGATGATTGCGATCTCAGACATCCTGAAGTTTGTTTTGTGTCTTTAGCTTTCTTCTTCTCCGCGACTTCTTCTTTCTTCTTCATCCTCAGTAGCTTTCCTTTTTGATGTGTCATCCAAACTGGCCATTTTCTCTTTTTTTCTCATTCCTGAAATACTTTTTGTTTATGCGTGCCTAATGAAATAGACACCGCTGCTGAATGAACCAAAATTTTCGATTGCCCTGCACTGTTTAAGCAAGGCTATTTCTGTTATATTGCTCTTTTAAGCGGCATATGAGACCGCTCATAATATTTTTTTATATGATTAACATTTGCTGCTAAGGATTCACCATTCTTTCCTTTTAAATACCAAACTGTTTCTAGATTCCGTTGACTAAAAGGGGTCCTTTGAATTCATTACAAAATTTCCCTACATTTCCTTCTGATGCACAATAAAGTGAATACTTTATTTTTAAAAATCTTATCTCCCACCTTAAAATAGATATCATGCCTTTTTTATTGTAACAGAATTTTTGTTTCGCGCGGGTAATATCTCAATCGGCCATTGCCTCAGTTTCGCTAATTTCTAAATATCTACCAACTTAAATTCATTCGACCTTCTTTCAACAAAAAGAGAGTTTATCAAGCGGCGTAATCAATTTAATTTTTAATATAATGAATAATAACCATGAATAATGCCCATGAATAATAATAATAATGAATGCCCATGAATAACAACCAGCTGGAGCTCAGCTAGTGGTACTTGGCCTAAGCGGATCTTAGTACATAGGCTAGTTCATTAACATAGGCAGAAATAATTCAAAGGCGAAGAATTACAATCTTATCTGAGCTAGTAAAACCTCTGAGCTAGTAACGTGGCCTCGAGAGGCAAAAGTACGCTTTGTCTTAATAGCCAAAATTCTGGTGAGGAAACGGAAAGGAGAAGTGATAGTGAACATGAAATTATAAATAACTGGTTGTTTAAAATGATAACAGCGCTATAAATTAAGGTAACGTAACCTCAATTTATAATCAGTGGTTAAATTAACGTTTTATGGGGGTCGTTTTCTGCTATGAAGAATCCAATTTAACAAGTTTGCTAAAATTGCTGAGTTTATTGGATTTAACCTGTTGTAGTCTCTTCGCGAGTAACTGAGACAATACAAACAATTAATTAAATCATTGCCATCGGGGAACTGAATATGAAAGATTGCACATTTTCGACAAGTTTTTACTGTGAAAGAATGTTTAATATTGCCCTGATAGTCAAAATTAAAACGGCTGAAAATTTTATTAATTGCTTTTCCTTTTGTTGTTCTCAACCGTTGCTTGTAGAATGATGAGCTACAAATTAAATGCAAACTGGAAAGCTCTCAGCTAAGCCTATTTTATTATTTATATTTAGATAAACAAGAGGAAATTTATAACAGCAAATATAATTATATAAAATTTTAACGCTTTAAAAATTATTTAGTGCATTTGCATAAAATTTAGAGACCTGTAAAATTAATCTTTATTCTGTAAGGTTGGCTCTAATTAACATGCTAGGCCTGAACTTCTGCTGGTACGTCTGGTCTATTATAATACATAATGGAAGTTAGTCTGAAATAAAAACGACAAACTAAATTTTGGAGAAGAGGTAGGAAACTTCAGCGAACCGTGTGAAAAGGTCTTTGTTACTGCTTGCCTTGAGCGCTTTTGCAACTAGCTGGTTAGCTTGTCTCTCTGATTGAATATTAAGTTAGTAGTCCTGAAATAGCAGAAACAGTTTGTTAACCTTTAAAGTTTGATTTGTAAATGTTCGGATCTTTGGGTCTGTGTAGCCAAAAATGAAGGCGAATTTAATTTTGTTAATAGTTTCAGTTGCGTAACATAAAAATGAAATTCAAATAAGTCTTCTACTGTTTATTTAACATTGAAAGTTCTGACATTGAAAAGCCATTGACAGGAGGGGAATTTAACCGGAAATTTCAGAAAAGCAGATCTGGTTTAAGTTAAGTCAAATTGAGCTTTAAATTTTTACTAAGTAATAAAGCTTTTGAATTGCAGTACCTAAAATTGCGTAGATAGTTATAACAATTTTTAATAATTTAAATTAAGATTTCGGTAAATACATGGAAAATTAAAAAAATAACTGAATATATTTTCAATGCAGATCATTAACAAGTGCAACAGTAAAGCTTCCAATGCAGAGATTGCCGACCAGAAAGAGCCTTTATTTCATGATGGTAAAAAAATTGCCACACATTGCCAGTGTTGCAACTGCTCAAGTAGAACACAAAATCTTAGTAAATACGCTGAAAATTCATGTACCCATGGCTATAAAGATCTATATCAAGGATATTTTTCTTCCCAGCGCACAAAATCTCATACAAAAGTTGGAAACAGAAATAATTCTTGCAAAGAATGCAGAAAGCATGCATATGAAATATCAACCAGGTGAATTCTTTAAAATACTTCTGCTACTAATGGATTAATAGAATATAATTTTATCCAAAAAATGTTGTAATCAGTATGCGTTTTGATATAAATCTTAGTAAATTTTATTGGCATTAATTGTTAATATCAACACTAATCTTCAATTATATTTCGCCTGCTACTTTAAAGTAATGAGAACTGAGTTCGAATACAATGTACGCTTTATTAACTCATACGAGAAAAGTCGTTTAAAAATGTAATGGAAAATACTGCTTTCATAACTCATTGTAGTCAGAACAGAAAATTTGAAAATTAAATAATAAGAAACAATACCAGAGGGAAATATTATCATATTTTTATCCAGTAAAAAGACCACCTTTCTTCCTCATAACTTGCCCAATTTTCTGTAAATATTGAGTCTCAATGTAGTTCTAGTTTTTTTTTACTGCCATGATGAATTAGAGTATGCTGCCTTTTAATTCTTTTGCCAGTAATAACCCATCATCAAAGAATCTTCTTTGGAGTTCAAGATTGAGAAGTCACCAGATTATAGAAGAATGTCCGCGTTCGACTCCTTCTTTTAAAATTAATGTAAAATTAGTTCCTCGCCTTCTTTTAAAATTAAAATATGAATAATAATTCAAGCCAACTAATCATTTCAAAGGGTAAATGAAAAAATATAATACACAACATCCAAGAAGAAAGTTTAATACTACAAAAATGCACAGCAGAGTATATGAAACAATTCGTTGAAATGCGGTTTGCTGCAAAGGAAAGAAAAACAGAAAGAAAACGTTTGTTAGCAAACAATTTTAAAGGGCGGTCAGTAGACGGTGTCAAAACAATAAGAAGGTAGAAAAAATGAGTACTTTACTCTGCTTCAATTAAATAAATTGCCTGTATGTATGGGAAGGTGGAGTTTCAGAGAATGTGTAAAAAGATATCCTTGTAATTTACTCTTGGATGCATTAAACTAATTAGACATACATAATGTTTATCACATGAAAAATTAGCATTACCTCGTTGACACACGCTGGTTTTTTGAATGAGTTGGAAAAATGTTTTAAAGAAATCGAGAAAACAAGCTAGAGCCACTGCGTAAGAAATTAATTTACCGAACATCTCCTCATTTCCTGTGCCAGTACAGAAACCCATTTTGAACATTATCGAAATATCTTTATTATGTAACTTCTATTTTTATGTCATAAACTTTTCTGATTGTTCTTCTTTTCACCCCAAACGTATTGTTTTGGCGTTGTGATTTTCTTCCTTACCTTTCAAAAATATGCTAGGAGATTTTAAAACTATACGTAATTCCAAATATTCTTAAACTCACTCGAAATTCCGAATCAAATTGATTGAAAAAAATTGCCCAGATCTACTTTACTGGTAATTCTTGAACTTCCCAAGCCATTTCCATTGAGAACCAGGTTTTCTTTAGGCCCTCTGCATATGATTACTATTAACACTTTCTTAATAAACTTAAGCTTCTTGTATTTATTTATGACTTATACCCTCATAACGTCGAAGATTTAGAATGACTCATTTTGGACTCGTTATGCGCCAAATATTCGGAAAATGTTCGGAGATTATAATAGCATTATATAAGTCAAATAAAGATAAGTAATATACGGCATTACATCTTGCAGCTTAATGATAACATTTTCTAATAATAAATCGAAATTCCTAGATCAATTATTTGTTTACCAAACAAGATGTTTGCACATCTTAACATAATTTACGTCAACGGGCTTTAGATGAACTATAGAGAAATATTTTCAAACCAGAAAAATAAAAAATCAGAAAAATGGAAATTTCCAGAAAAAGATAACAGGGTGTTGCATGAAATGTAATTATTATGCTTTGTTTATTACACATTTAGTCATCATCGAAGTAATACAAAATTAATGCATTCTTAATTGCCTAACGATGAAAGTGAGTTTAGTGCGGAATATGCTTAATGTGTCAACCATTTTGTCTATTCACGTTCATTTCGCTTTGAATTTCGTATCTTCATTTCGGTACTTCTGCTTCACATCCTTCACTAATATTTAATCACAATATGAGAATTACACGGCGTTTGGTTATTCGTACAGCATATTTTTTACTCCAAGGCACTACTTGTTAGCGGTCGGACATGTCTGTATTCTATAACACAATGCTCAAACAATTACCGTATAACACGCATGTAAACGACCATTACACAATGGCGTTGTATTTCACAGATACATTACTTTTGCCAGTTTACGGGTGCAAAGTTTCGGGAGCAAATGCTACACATGTCTTATGCTGTGGGGAAGGGGGCTGCCTCCGACTGCGAAATGCATTCGCCTATAAAACATTGTGCCTCTTAGACACAATAACACGCCGAATAAATACTAATTCAGAAGTCAAACAACAAAAATCAGCGTTCCTACAAAAATTTTTCACAGGACTAGCGGTTTTGCAGCTGAAGATGATGGTTCGGTAAAACCATCGAAACTAGTCCTGTGAAAAATTTTTGTAGGTATAACGCTGATTTTTGTTGTTTGACTTCTGAATTAGTATTGTGCCTCTTGTTTTGTTCACATGTTTGAACACTCATGAAAGTTTCAAGGTATTTAACATCCAGAAGTCGGATAGCTTTCTTTGTGAATCGATAAAAGGTCATTGCCTTACGAGCCAGAGACCAGGTATTTAAACTATGCATTTTATCGAAAAAAAAATTTACACACAAGTAATAGATATTCATTCAAGTGAAACAAGTTCTTCATTCTTTCACCGTGTAAATTCCTTTCAGACTTTTGGAAAATTTACCAAATTCTCACATTTGCGATGGATTAGGAGACGTAACTTCAATAGATTTAAGAATGTATGAAAATCACAGAGATTCTATGGATGTATTTGAAAGATTTAAAGAGCTAGAAATGACTACAAGCGAAGATAAATGCATTGAATTGTAAGTATGCTTTTTTATTCAAATTTAATCAAATTTTATCACACGAGTACATGCATTTTCAATTTTTTTTATTTTGAGCAATTTTGATCAGTAACTTTATCCTTTTCGAAATAAATGCTATCAAAAACAGCCAAACGTTTTTCATCATTTTAAAGTCAGCGATTGGACATACTGTGGAATAGACCTTCACCAGTTAGAAATAAACAGTGATTCTTAGACAGTGCAAACATGAAAATGTGTTTTATTGTAGGTCCTCTGTTTTGTTAAATGTGTTAGTAGGTATAAAACACCGGTTTGGAGCTATGTGGCGCTGTGGCGCTGGGACTGTGTGGTGCACGGGGGGGGGGGAATTTACAGAGGGCCACCAGCTGGTTGCTACGTCACCAATTACGGACGCGTCGCATCCTGTTCGTGACGTCACCACAGATATCAGTCGCAAGTATGTTTGTGTTGTAATCCGGTTTCATGTACATGTTTATGGATTGACGTAAAACTCTCCGCCTCTCTGATGTCATACTAAATCCGCAACCTGATTGCAAGCATGCAGATACATGTTAGAATTATAAGAATACTATTTGACTTAATAATTAATATATTTAATGAAAAAAGTTCATCTATTTATATGTAAATTTCAATTATTTGTCCATCTATGGCATGGGAAACGTGGACGATAACACAAAGCTGTGCTTTTATCTCGTGAATCATATTATTTGATCTTATCTATCCGATCGCATCTATCCTCTTTGTTCATCTTTGTGCAGTGGAAACCAGCATGAGGCTGATGGATTGCACATAGAGAATTCTGTTCCAACTTGCTCAGACCTTTGTACATCCTCGATAATGAATGAATTCATAACTTTAAATTTATTTTGTTTCTATTTTAGGTTAAGATATTTTAAATTTCTCATTTCTTTATCTTACAAACATAATTTACGTATTTTTCTTTTCTTCTCGCCGTTAAATAAAATTTTCACACCATATTTTTTATATACAAACAGAAGATTTTCTTTTTTCCCCCCCATTTTTAAGTTTTACATCCTTTTTCCCCCTGCGTTTAACTTACAAAAGTAATAGATTTTATAAAAGTAATATGTTTTCACAATTTAAATTTTTTTTCCTCTTTTTATTTTACAAAAGGTTTTTTTCCTCTTCAGTTTAATCTTTCCTTTCCGTGTTTTACATTCTTCACTTTATTTGTTTTACAAAAGCTGTACTTATTTTCATACGATTTTTTCTTTCTTTTTTACGAAATCTGTCTTTTTTCCTATATTTTACTTCAAGAAGTAATTTTTAATTTTTCTTTTATATAAAAGTATTTTTTTAATTGTTTGATGAATTTTCTTCTCTCATTTTTTTTTCTTTCTTTTATTTTACTCTTAAGGTTTTTCTTATTGTTTTAAATACTTATTGATGCTACACCTCCATTTCTCGAAGCGTAAAGTTACATAAATATTTTTCTCTGTCTATGAAATCTAAGCTGGGAACTTGCACGCATATAATTTCACCTCTAGAGGCTTTCATGGATAATATTTTCTGTAAACTTAAACCAATAAGGGTACGATGCTCCTTCCCTATAGCTTACTTAGCATATTATATTTCTTATTTTTTTACGCTACTCATATTTAAGATACGCAAAACTTTCTCTTCTAATGTATTACACTATTCTACTAACACTTAACAGGTGATATTCCGAACTTTCTCTTCTAATGTATTATAACTTTTTGAAAAACTATACTAAAATGTCGCGGATTCTCTTTTACACATCTCATACCTGTTTATTCAAAGGATTCACGAAACGTGTCAACAAATGTAAATTTTAAACTTTCTATTTTCCAATTAAACATTTTGCCTTTCATTTAACCTTTATCATGTTTTTAAAACACATCCCTCTTAATATTTCTGATTCTATTTTTTTTTCCTAAAAATAAATACAGACTTATACGGATTTTTTAAAGGTCTACTGACTGATATCTGTGGTGAATTAAACCTTCTAATTCAGAAATAGTAAATTTTCACAACATAAAATCTGCTTGAACTAATATATGGACATCTCTAGCAAGTTTAGTTCAAATACATATGAAACAATATGAAATTTCTTATTATTGTTTACCCAAGTTTAATACGTACCAACAGCATTTCATTTCTTATTATTTTACACTACAGACATTTACATGAATATATTCAGAACACTCCTTTTTATTGAGCAGGAGGTTTCAGATATATTACTAACACAGATTGACTCTTTGAAATATTTTACAAAAATATCTTGGATTTTCTTGTACACATTGTATTTAAATCACCGAACATACGTTAAATTTTGATTTCTATCACGTGAAAACTTCACTCGGATTCTTAATGTGATCCCACCATTTACCGCAGACCTTCAAAAACACTGCTATATTTGAACTTAACACAGCCTTATTTTTTTAACAAGCTACAGAATTTTTAACTACAGAGAAGAATATCCAAATTGTAATGTAATATTTTAAATTCACTATAGAGCCATATTTGTGTAAAACATCTAAAACGAAAGGATGTCTGGCCATGGAATTAATGTTCAGTCACGGAAGCGAAACTTTGTCATCTTTTTCTCTACTTAGAATATAAAAATTTCTCAGCTCGGAATTTTTTTCAAAGAGTATGATCATTATTTTTACAAGTCTCAAAGCTTTTTAATATATTCCTTCTAACTTAAGATATGCATTTCAAATTGACAAACACTGAACTCTTACAGCTTTTTGAGGATGATTTTTAAGTTATGATACATAGCAATAAAAATTCTACATAACAGAGAATATTGGACATGAATTTCCAAATATAATACAACGTACTTCAATATATTCAATTTAACTGAAGATACGCATTTCAAACTGACATTCGTTACTTAAGCTCTTAAGGTACATCCGATATTTAATTTTTCACAGATATGAGAAACATTTTTGCATAAATACCATACAAAACACATAATATTGATATGAACTCCTATATTATGGGTTAAACATTAGTAACTTAATGAACCTTTAATAAATTTTAGTGTGAATTAATCTTAAAAAGAAAAATTCAAATGCAAGTATTCAAACAGAAATGCTTCACAAATTTACATATTAAGCAAACATTCAAGAGAATACCTATATATCTAGAGATATTATTTACACTAGTTGGTAATGTAATTTATTAGAACAATCGCAGACGTATAGAAGAGGTATGCAATATCCATGAAGAAACTTCCTACCAAGCCAAAGAGCAATAGTGAAATATAACATATGAGAAGGGGAAAAAATGTCTAAATATGGAAAACATGAACTAGTAATGAATATTTTTTCTGAAAATGTCCCCGAATGGGATAAGTCAGGGGTAAGAACCTTAACCAGTTTCAGGAATAGGGCCTGAAAACTAATGAAGTATTTTTAATCTTATTTTTGTCAATAATACATATATTTATACCAAAATATTCTGTTTGAAGACTATATTCTATCCACTTTAGAAGGAATTTGATAAATCAGAATGAACTTGTTTTCATTTTCTGAAGATTCAGGGTTCAGAAATATTTACAACTCAAAAGAAAAAAAAAAAAAAAAAAGGTTAGAGCGAGAACGAAGTATACCGTAACCAATAAAAAATGTTTTTCCTTCCTAAAAAAAAATAAAGTGAAACTTTTTCGACCTAAAATATTCTATATGAATTTATTTCGACTTTTTTAAATCAAAGCGTAACATTTTCCCCTTACATTTTGAATTTAACATGGGTGTTCCCAAAGACAAAATAAAAGTGGAGATTTTTCTCCCTAAAAACATTAAAGTGAAAATTTTTCGATTTAAAAAAATATAAATGAATTTATTTCTACTTTTTAAAATCAAAGTGTAACATTTTCCCCTTATATTTTGAATATAACATGGGTTTTCCCATAGACAAAATAAAAGTGAAGATTTTTCCTCTTAAAAAAATTAAAGTGAAAATGTTTCGACCTAAAAAAAATCTAGAATTTATGAATTTTTTTCGACTTTTTAAAATTAAAGTGTAACTTTTTCCCCCTTACATTTTAAAATTAACATGGGTTTTACCACAGACGAAATAACAGTGGTGATGTTTCGTCTTAAAAAAGTAAAGTGGTTCGAGCAAAGGAAACACGCCAGCAGTCTCCTAAAACTTTAAGTGAGCACCTGATCTTTGGTCTTACAAAAGTTAAGTAGAATTGTAGATTCTACGTAACAGCGAAGATCAAAGGCCCACTTAGAGTTTCAGGAGACTGCTGGCGTGTTTTCTTCGCTCGAACCCTTTTATGGGAAATCTTCCGTATAACTAGTTTTGTATAATTACCGTCCAGATTTTGCAGAGTACTTGATCTTCATTACATCTCTTTTCAGTAAATTGACATTTTTATGCTGTGTAATTTCAAAAATAAGCTTCGAATAGGATGAATATTTGCACATTCTACTGAATTGCCTAGATCTGAAGACTTTCTTTTATTTCCAGAATTTTACCTTATGTGTGCATAACCTGCATTTATTCCATTCGTCTTCTTATTATTGATAGGAAAAAGTAAAGTTACGTGAGAGATTTAGAATACTGAAGTTCATATGACTGTTGAATACTGGGAACAAATCCGGCATTCTGTCATAATTGACTAATACTCTGAATAATAAAATTTTAAGAAAACATTAGTTTCATTCATGTGAATAAAATAAATACGTTTTCTAAAAACACATCCAGGATATCTATCACAAGTGTCAACATAAATGATCTAAAAATATATTTTTAAGTATTTAAATAACTCATAAGCTGAAGATAAACCAAGAGAAAAAGTATCGAGAATCCATTGGCATATATCAAAAACAAAGATAAAATAGTTTCCAATAACAAAGATAAAACAGTTTCCAAGTGTTTAAAAGAGTATCGAGAGACACTCTCTCAAGCGTTTGCAAAAAGCCAACGACATCACAATTCATAAATTTTATGGAACATGACATTATTTAAAATTTTCGTTCTGATATAGGAAATACTCAT